GTGTGTGTGTGTGCAGGAGACGGATGGCCTCCGGCTTGTTTGACGTCGAGGTCCATCGACGGAGGGGCTTTCATGTGGGCAATTGTGGCGCCTGTGGGGCAGATTCCACCAGACGACCAAATCGCCAGAACCTCCGAACGAGCCTGACTTGTGTGTTTCTGGGTCACCCGGACTACCGGACGACCGGCCTACAAGGCACCTCTTCCCAATACCCCTTCGACGGCCCACCTGGCGTTCACCTCTCCTCCTGCGGTAGAAGTCAGTGCCAAAGCCACCTGCTCACCTCCTCGTCTGCCGCCACCGCCTGAACACCACCTGCGGGAGGAGGGTTGGTTTGGTGGGCTGGATCTCGTGTCACAAGTGCGTCCGAACAGATGGGCTTCGGCCCATTATCATTGGATTCCACTTGTCGGCTGCATCGTATTTACTTTATGCCATTTGTATGCCTGCAGTTCTGCCACTTGGCCCTTTTCTTTGCAACCCATTGTCGCCCCGACAGTCTGTATGAATGCCTGGGTGGGAGACGGTGTTAGCTGGCATGTACGCCGTCTTGCCTATTTCATTGAGTGGCTCTGCACAGTCCTCTTGTGTCCGTATCGCAGCTGCGATGCCATCACTCGGGCGCATTTAGCCTCACTCACTTTCCCACTTTCCCACCTCTTCCCGCCCATTCTGCCGTTGTGGCTTCTTCCTCAGGACACAATTTTGCTCGTGCTCTCCTGCCAGTCTTGGCTTCGCGGTATTGTTTCATCGGAAGGCTTGGGGTCATCTGGGAGCCGGTTCCAGGATTCGCGCTTTCCGGACTCGGAGGCGGAGTCCAGCTTGTGCGTTCCAGGCTCCGTGGTGAAGTGGGAGGAAGGGGTGATTGCCGAGGAACCACTTAATAAGTTGATGCAACTCGACTATTCACGCAACTCGGTCATATTGATAGGAAGACTTAAAGAAACGCACATAGTCCGGAGTCCATTGTATGTATCATCGTTTCCAGAGTATGACCGTGGACGTGGTA